ATGTGGACATGTGGAATGCCATCCACCTCCTTAGAGACAGGATGTCTCACTGGCCTGGCAATCACCAGTTACACCAAGCTGGCTGCCCAGTGGGCCTATCTCCACCACCCCAGTGTTGGCATTACAAACATGAGCCACCATGCCTGGCTTTCAGGTCCTCATGCTTCCGTGACAAGCATCTTCAGTACACTGAGCCCTCTCCCCATGCCCACTTTGCCCATTTTATAGACAAAGAAACCCAAACAACCCAGACCACACAGCTAGCAAATGGAATACCTAGACCCAAACCCAAGGCGGCCTGATACAATAACTTCCCAAGCTCTCATGCTTCCCTCCATGGCCATAGGCAACTGCTCCTAGCCCTTGGACCTCAGGAACTTTGGACAACCCACTATGAGGAATGAATAATAGGAGAAATGTTGTAGGAGGGTAAGATGTCGCACTTGCAGGAATGAAAGAAGAGGGACAGGGGCCAAGGTCACGAGGACCATAGCTGGGACTCAATGCTGCCAACACCCTCTCTAAACCACTCTCTCTTGTTCTATTTGGCTTCCTACGCTGGGTAGGAAAGATGCTCACAGCATCTAGGATGCATCTAAACAAGAAGTAACATTCTTCCTCCGGTCATTAACACATACATACCAGAGAAGGAGTCTGATTGGTACTATGCCCATCACTGTGGCTGGAAGATGGGGGGCATCTATGGTTGGTGCCACCTGAGTCACATGTCTGTCTACCTGATGGCCGCAGAGCAAGGATGGATGAAAGGAACTGGTACTTTAACTGACAGCCCACTGCAAATGTGTGACAACAGAAAGACATTCCCCAAAGGAAGAGGATGTCAGAAGTGAAATGATGGAAATCAGGGAAGAGAGGTAAGAGTCACTAGCTGTCACCGTCCACTACACTGGTCCATGTGAGAGACAGGGAGGACACGCACAGACATCATCACCACGTGGAGTTCGCAGCCTCCAAGAGAAATACATTTTCAGGCGTGAAGACATTAATAAGAGCTGATCGCATCTACCATCTCTGAGCACCTACAGGGGACAGGCACTGTCCTGGAAAGTGGGTACAGCTACCATCCCATTTTTTCCTGAGTCCAAGAGACAGTAAAAAAAAAAAAAAAATCTCCCCCACCCCTCTGCTCCATGATAGCCAATTCAGAAAAATATAAAAATGCTTATGGGTCCCTTATCCCCACTCACAGAGGTTAAAGGACTTGCTCAAAGTCACACAGCTAGCACACAAATAAACATCCTGGGGAGTATTTGGTTAAGAGCAAAACAATGCTTCCTGTAGACTAAAGGATTGGGGAAGACTACCTGGGAAAGGAGGAGGTAGTGGGTGGAGCAAAGCTGAGCCTGGAGGATGGGACATCTGGCCATGTGTGTGAGGAAGTGAGGGCGGTAATTCCCCCAAACTCAGGGAAGCAAGTCTGAACACTCCTACATCTGTCTGCTCCCTCCATTCTATGGCAGATCTTTCAAGATTCCTGATTAGAATCACCTTCTCTGAGTCTGCTCTTCCCCAGTTGACCCCAGCCAGCCCAACCATTCTTCACAGGATTTGTTCACTGGCACCCGCATCTTCTGTCTTGGCTGCCCTCCTGTATGGTCCAGCTATGGACAGGTCCTAAGCATAGTTTGAGCCACGCAGAAGACAAAAGAAATGTCACCTCCCCCTTCTAAGCACTGAATTTCCTAATGAGCCCCAAGCCAGTTAGTATTACTCTGAAGCCTCATGGGCTCCCAACACCCCCAATTCAAGCACATCACCCCCACTGCGGCCCATAGCAGACAGTCCCAAGCCTAAAATGAGACACTCATGTCACTGCTGCAGGCTTAGTCCATACGTGGTGCTGGCTGCCTCCCAGCACCATAGCTTCTGCAGAAGCAGGGCTGGGACTGTGTGACTTCTACACAATGTACCTAATGCCACAGAGCTATGGACTCTAGGTAAAATGGTACCTGTGCTACCGTGTGCATTTTATGACAAATTTAAGCCAAGTCATTGGTGGGATCTCTGGAGCCACCCCCTCGAGGGACTCTGTCCCCAGCCTAGACAGCTAAGTACCATCAAAAGGCAGCAGAGGAGGAAATTCCTGGTGGTTCTGGAAAATCCTGAGAATTTAACCTCTGAGAGGATTCAGAGGCCAAGTTATACTATTGATATCTACACCACCATCACTGTCCTAAATTCTGGACCCCTTAGGCCCCCTTAAAATTCCATCCAGCTCCAAGTCCTCAGCCCTCCCTGCCTCTGTAGTTCAGGAGCTGGACTTCCTGTCTACCGGGCTTTTGAAATGTCTTCCTCACCAGCCACTCAGTCTTGAATCCTAACACTGTGGCTTCTGTGTTCCCTACTCATCCACCTACACACAGAGCAAATTGTCCCTGCCAGTCACCAATTGCCTCCTAAGTGTGAAGGTCAACGAAGAATTTCCTTCCCTTCTCTCAAGAGCAGCCTTTGACACAGTGCCGGTTGAGCCTCTGGACACCTCCCTGGGCTCTGTCCCTACCTCCCTGACGGTTACTTCCCTATCTTACTCTTGGACTCTTCCAAGCTGCCAACCTGGTCCTGATGCTGCCAATGTTACTTCCGCACAGCTAACCTGCTTAATATCTCATTTCCTCTGAGGATAAGCCAAAATAACCATCCTAAGCCCGCCACTGCCAAGCCCCAGCACTTCTGCGAACAGAGACCTATTTTCCTTTTCTGCGTAGCCTTCTCGTCACCCCAGACCACTCAGATACACACAACCATTTACTCAGCCTCGCCTGTAAGCTAGAAACACAGGACTCCCTCCACCCCTTTTCAAAGTTCAGGGTCTAAGGAAATCACCGCATGATTTCACCAAGCAATGCTCCTTCGCCCCACATCTCTGTGGCTACTCTGGCTGGCCTCTCACAGCTCAGGCAGCAAGAACCTCCTAATTGGGCAGCTGGCTGTGCCCTCCTCAAATCCACCATTGACTGAGTGTGGAGGGATCTCCTAGGAGAGCAAACAGGAGTCCCCCCACTCCCCACCCCCTGGCCCAGCACAGGCTCCCTCTGCCATAGGGTAAATTCCAAGCTTCTAACCACGGCCTCTTGTCTCCTGATGAGTCTTCCCAATGGTATCAACAGGGCAACTTTGACTGAAACTTACCCGCCCCTATTTCTGCTCCTGAGCCCTTCTTCCCAGCCACTTTCCCTCTTGGGATGCTGAGCCCTCCTCCCCCCGGGTCACAGTCACCCAGACTCCTACTTCCCTGTTAAGATTCAGCTCAAGGATTGCTTTCCTAGGAAGAACCTTCAGGGGTGGGGGACAGGTGGCTGGCCTGTGCTTCCTCCTTGGCACCCCATTCCTGCCACATTACCAAAGCTTCTAGAACTTGCCTGTCCTCTGCATGCACCACCCTTCAGTCTGCTCAAGAAATGTCCTCGTGGGTTACATTTCCTCCTCAACAGAGCTAGCAGGGGACGAGGCCCACTGAAGGCCCTGTAAGAAAGAAAGAAAGAAAGAAGGGAGGGAGGGAGGGAGGGAGGGAGGGAGGAAGGGAGGAAGGAAGGAAGGAAGGAAGGAAGGAAGGAAGGAAGGAAGGAAGGAAGGAAGGAAGGAAGGAAATAAAAAACTGATGAGAATTTGGATGAAGAGCAAGGGGAACCGAAACACCCCAGTACTCACCACCCCCTCCCTCAGCTAGAGCGTGCCACACAATAGGTGTTCAGTAAAGGCTGGTTGGCTTCTATTCACTGAACTGACATAAGATTTGGGGCAGTTTGAAGTATGATGGCGGAGGAGGTAAAGAGCCAGAAGGGGAAGCCCAGGGCGCACCGCAGTGGGGGAAAAAGGGCCAAGGGATTGTGTGAAAGGGAGGTGAGGGAACTTGAGAGTCAAGTGCGGGCCTCTGTGCGCTCTGGGCAGCGGGCGGCGGCCTGGCTAGCCCTCCTCCAGCCCCGCCAGCGCTCGGTCCCTCCGGCTCCCTGGGGTGGCGAGACCCCCCGGCTCGCGCGCTCCGCTCCGGGTGCTGGGAGGCGTGTGTGTCGCTTTAAAAGCTCCCTCCCGGCGCGCGGGGCCGGCCCCTTCTCTGCCAGCGCCGAGGCGAGCGGAGCCGCGCGAGCCCGGCGGCCTTTGAGGGAGCCAGCGCCCGCCAGGGCGGCCA